AACCCCCCCCCCCAAAACCCTCCCTTTTAGCCAGGCATTATTGCTCTTCTGCTTCTAACACGCTTCCGCTTCTACTACAGTTCAATGTTTTTAATACGGCCTTCAGGACTCTGCAGTTGTTGGATTTTCAGGAAGGGCCGAATTCCAGACCGGGCTCAGCCATCGGGTTTGGCCGGGCAGCCCAGCTCAGCTTCTCTGTCAGCCAAGTCGGCAGGTGAAACGTACTGTGGGGGCAGGCTGACGACCGATATCGCTAAGAGAAAGGGGAGGAATAAAAGGCGCTTTTCTTTTTCGTTCCCGATAGAGGAAAGGGATCCCCAATCGCGCCAGAAAAACGATAGGCGCCGTGGGCAGCTTCCGGTTTATCTCCCGTTCTCCCCTAAGACGCAGGCGCTCCTCAGCCTTCCCTCCTGCAGCAACCGTCCATCAGCCAGCGGAGCATCACCCACCACGACGCTGCACGTGCTGGCGCGCGGGGCTGAAAGAGGAACCTGCCATCCCAGCATGCTTAGGAGAGGAACCGGAAGGGGCGGGACGAGGGCAAACAGAACTCGGAGCTATAGAAATTTAGAGAGATTCATCCGACTATCCAGGATGAACTCTCAAGTTTCCAACAGTCGTAACTCCCTTTAGCGCGGAATGCATGAACAATCCCGCCCACTTCCGGTTTTAAGCATAACAAACGTAATGCCTCGGTCAAACAAGGGTGTTGCACGCAAGCTGCGCGTTGGGACTAGGCGGAGGCGGGGAGAGAGTTTTAAGAAGACTGAAGTTAGGTATCAGCCAAGTCTTAGTCCCCCTAGGGCCAACAACATATAAAAGTTGCCTTTCGCTCCCCCTCCCCTTTCCCATTTCAAACCAGTTACAAAATTTAATGATTGGTAGATAAGACTGCTGTAAGCAAGCACTCAAAAAGCAAAGTTGCTATTTATAACACACTCCCCCCACCGGGTCCATCCACAATAAAAAATTAGCCAAAAGCTAAAGAGCAGTTAATACAACCCGTATCAGTGTTTCTAAACCTTGGCCGCTTGAAGACGTGAGGACTTCAACTCCCAGAATTCCCCAGCTGGGAATCCTGGGAGTTGAAGTCCACACGTCTTAAAAGATGCCAAGTTTGAGAAACACTGATCCCTGTGCATCGTGACATATGGATCGCCCCAGTGAAGTCGCTTTTGCAGCTACCAAAGTCGAAAGCGACCGACCGACCCTAAGGCGCTCCAACTTCCAGCCTCCTTCCCGGTTTGCAACAGGGACCGGAACGGCCTCGGCAATGGTTAAGGCCCCCAAACGCCACATGCCCACGACGCGCAGGTCGCAAAGGCACGTGTTCCTC